ATTGGCATGAGGAATATGAGAGAACAGAAGGGGACACAGCTGCAGATAAATTTACAGGTGGGTAAAGGTTTCATACGACAGTTAGGTACAGTGAGGTTTATACAAGAGGGGCAAGATGGACGGAATGCTCAATTGCAGAATGAGACGAAATCAATGGAGGCAATGAAGGTAAAGGAAAGACACTTTGCTAAACCTTAGAATGTGATGGATTTAGTGAAGACGGGGATAAAGGAGCTGGACAAACACCTTGCTCAATTACAGAATCAGGTGCATTTGATATAGATTATGCTGAAGACAAGAGGCAAATGATATGCTCAAATCCAAGTAGAGATACATTCAATGAAGATGGGTGGTGGTGGAGAGATGGGTTTCGGTGTCTATGGAATAGATGGTAGGCAATCCAGCATCCATGGAGCACTCCTGTCAAGATGAGGATGCCAAGGAAATCGTTCCTATCAGCAAGATCCCTGTGCGCTTGGTGCCCCTGCTAAATGCCAAACAAGTGGGATCCAAGTTGGGAACTCAGGACAATGTGTGCTACAAGCCTTGTGGGGGGGGGATGTAAAGATGGACACCCTGAAGCTGGATTCCAGCAAGATGCAGGCAGTTCATGCCAAATTTTATAGGAAGGACCAGTGATATAGGTGAGACCTGAAACCAAAAATGACTGTGCTTGTGGTTACCATTCAGTCATCAGTCAGCCATGACAGGAGCCTTTGATCACAAAGGCACCAAAAGGACTTACCATTGTTAGAAGCCACTACAAAACAAGGTGTACTTAAGACAGCAGAGTTGAAAGATTTGGAGTGTGTTGTAGTTGTTTGTAGAGTACTTCCAATTAAAATGTTCTGCACATATTTTTGTTATAATGCAGTTTCATGGTATATATATTTTTAAAAGGAAATATCTGTATTAGGGATATTTTAAAATGAAAGAAACATAGGAGTATAAATATAATTTATGATTCATATTGGAGACCTTAATGAAGTAGTCAAATTGTCACCACTTGAAAGTTATTAATTTCCAGCAGAATAATGACATGATACTGCCTAACGGAGCTTATGTGATGCTTGAAGCATGTAGAATAAAAAATATTCACTTAAAGTGATAATAACTACTACAATATTAAGATAAGTTTTCACCAAATCTAGAGTTGTTTGAGAATTTGGCAGTTATTGCATTCAGAACACGAGAAAAACCACGCCTTTTGTGTTATACACAAACTACACTACATTAAGAATAACTGCCAAACAGACAGCAAATCAAATTGAGTATTGGCGATTGTCTGGACAAATTATTCATGGACGTTCTCTCAAGAGATTATGAGAAAGATATTAAACACAATGTTTGGTGAGTGTTCAGTCTCTTCTTTCTAGGTACAGTATGTTTTATATAAAAACCTTCTGCCCCTAAGTTGGCTTCTTGTCACCCTATGTCCAATACTGTTTAAACATGGTTTAATTATGGTTTAATGCATAAAGTGATCTTCATGCCACAGGACAGTGATAAACAATAAGACCAGCATCTGACGTTATATCCTTATATTTTTTAGAGTCTGATTAATGAAAATTCGACTGCCTCTGTGGTCTAGTGGTCAAGAATTCCTGCCTACAGATCCAGGGGTCCCTGGTTCGATTCCTGGCACTACCAGATTTTCTGAGAAGTAGTGGGTCTGGAATGGGGTGAGGATAACTGAGGAGCTATCCGAAGGATATATAGCATCACCTGTCCAGAATACCGAGATTAACGGCCATGGGGGATCCGTTGCGCTGACCATGTGACACCCTCTATCTGCAAAAGTTTGCATTAAATTTGCCGACAAGCAGCGGTTGCTCGGTTGGTATAGTTCATTTGCAGACTACAGGCCATGGAGGAGGAGGAGGCCAACTTACATTATTGAACTGCTTATTAAAATGGTTCCATTACAGATAGTCCTGTCTTACATAACCATTTTAAGATTACAATATTATAAAATATAATGGACTGATGATTACATTAAGTCCATACTTTATTTCAATTATTATAGCTATTTGTTAAAATCAGTAGTTAAAACTTAAAAAAGCCTACTGTGTATGGGGCGTTTTAGTGGAATATGGAGCAGGGGAAATGGGGCAGGGAGGTGGTATGTGTTGAATACTATCATGTTAGGGTATGTTCTATGTGGAAACATCTGTGTTTTGTATGCATATATGTATATATCTTTGGGGAGGGGGGATGCTTCGAATTTCCAGTATATATTTAGTAGTGATGTCTTCATTCTAACTTGTTTTGGTGGTTCATCTGAATAATTAAGAATACGAGTTGTAGCTTTGTGAATGGTTTTGGTAGTCAAAACTTCCTGCATGTACTTAAATATTTAACACTCACTGGATATTCTGTGGCCCTACAGTGAATTGTTTTTCATGAGTTTATTGTTTGAAGTTACTATTTCCTGGTTATGTATTTAACTCTATAGTACATTAACACTATACAAAATCCAACTTCCAGGAAACCAGAATAACAGCAACATCAGCCATAAACTCATGGAAAACACTTCCATACAAGACAACAAAAGAGCCAACAAATTTTATTAATACTGGGTATAATTGTGCTCATATTTTGAATATATGTTTCTGCTGATGTTGGAGCAGCCACAACTAGTCAATTCGTTTGTCTGTAATACTTCTGTTCAAATTTACAATAATGTTGTTCCATTATTGTTCCCAGTATGTGTACTATTTCCTTTTGGCTAGTTTCGTTGATACCTGAGCTGGGATAGCATAGTCGGTATAAAGACTGACTAGGGGGGGGGGGGTTACTAGTGAAGACAACACCACACGCTGCTAGAGGGAACAACACACAAGCAAGGGGCATATTACAGATTGCAGATGTAACAGAACAACGAGCTAACAAACATAAAAACAAGCTGCTGAAGTAAAACATCTGGAATAAATCACACAGCTCTAAACAAATGGATGACGGCCCTTATGAGGTGGAATAGGATTTTACAAAAGTAATTGAAAAATTCTACTGGATTTTATTTTATTTTTAAATGGACAACAGCACATGATTCTAGAGCACATCAGAGCAGTGTAGCAGTTTTGATACATTAAGACACCTGAAGATGGCCATCTATGGCCAAAACATGTGTTAAATGGTGAAACTGAACGAATAAAAAGGAACAATTTGTTACAGTACTGACTGACCGACATAGACGCTTTAATTTGAATCTATACATTCATTCCCCCAAATGACTTCATGGCGTAGTACTTTCTATGTTTTCTATACCAAATGAGCACATTCTAATGTCATTAATTTCATGGTTTTCAGATCTGTAATTAGATGAATGGCATTGGGTATACTGTATGTATATAGCAGATGTAGGTAGTTACGTAATGTTTTCGTTAAATGTTCTGCTAATTCATATGCAGGTGTGTTCTTACAACTGATTAATGGTCCGACTGGTTATTTGGTTTGTCTTATTATTATTATTATTATTATTGTTTGTATTATTATTATTGCCTGTAATTCGTCTTTGACTTTATGTTGCGTTTGTCCATAATGCAATTACTTGTATCTACCCTGTGCTCTCTGTAATTGGCCTTGCGGCTGTTGAGTCGGCATATAAATAATAAATAACTGAATTAATTTTATTGTGGCATGGCTGTCTGGGGATGTTGGATTCATGTTTGTATATATCATATGGTTTCTTGTTGTAAGATGTTGTTACTTTGTTTTTGTATTTGTTTTGGTAGTGCTATGTAGGACTGTTACTGATCACTGTGAATTTCTTGTACGAAGTTGTTTGCTTTATGTTGTCATTCCTCTTGTGTTAGTATAACTATTGTTTTTCCTTTATCTGCTTCAGTTATGTCAAGTTTATTTCCTGATGTTTTGCTTTCTTCATCTGTTATTAGCTTCCATTCCTTTTCATTTTATTATTTGTCATTTTTGGGTGATTCTTGTGATAGCTTTTGCTACTGCAGAGACAGAACAACGAAATGTAACATATAATATATACCTTATAAATAAAACACTAACATAACCCCATTACAAATACACCAGACATGTGAATACAAATAAAGTAACAATGGCATGATAATCTAAAAATAACCGAAAATGAAATATTTTGGAAGCATTTTACATTAAAATAAAAAGCAGAACTGCACGACAATTGAGCAGCAGGTTCCTCTAATCCAGCATCTTAGACACCTGATGAAAGCCAGTTAGGCGAAAACATGTAGTGCTGTATACTGAGAAGGGCTGAGGATGTTGAATTGTGAATATTAGTATACTGACGAAGTTGCACAAAGAAGTGAGAACAAGAAGTTAGAAAGAACATCAAGTATGCATGGTTTATTTTACGGGTAACTCAGGCAAAGAGTGGGCCACTAGTAAAACACAAAATTAGTGATGCTGAATGCCAGGCAGCTCACACCAGTTGGACAATTAGTTCAACCATTTACTCAGAAGATAATTCAGAGCTTATTTGGTTTGTCTTAGTTTTAAGGACATCACTACACGTTTTAAGGACATCACCAGTTACTAGCGGTACAATCTTCACCTGTATTTAACCAAACAAAACTGCCTTCAGGAAGATATACAAAATATCCAACAAAAAGGCCAGTTTGTTGTTTTCCGTGTACTTCATACAACACTCTTAAAAGATGACTCACGAAAATTTGTTAATCTCATGCACCATTACCTGTATGTTTAACCAAATCAATTAATCAACAACGTACACATCAAATATCCTAAATGTGGTTAAGTTCAGTGACCAGACCGACGTATTAGTCACTCTGTAGGCCGATGTTCTACGTGAATCAAAGCGCACTGAAGTTTTTATTCAACACACTTTACATTTAGAGGTTTTATGAAGACAGCTGGAGGAAAACAAGAGGCCATCTTGTACTTTGATGGACCGTCCCACTTCCAAAACCGTCAAGACTGCATAAGAGTGCAATGGAAAACAAAATAAACACATCTGTAGCCACAGACGAACTGTAAATGTCGCTCCTCACCTGATGAAGGGCTGTCAAACCATCAACGTTTGCCGTGTCAATGTCAGCTCCCTTTTCGAGCAACCGCAATACTTCTTCCTTGTCGCCTGCTGCACATGCTGCCAAAAACACACATCCTGCAGAGAACTGGACTTTTCTACTCTTATTATTAGGCACTGCAGCTTCACGATTAGTTTCCGATTCCTCCCACCGTTTCAACTGTTCAGCCCGCTTAAAAAGAGCAGAATTTGATCTGGTCTCATTAGACATTATGATCAACACTGCCCATACGTTTATGAAATGAACATGGAGGGAGCGGTCAAGCTAAACTCGCATTTCAGTATCACACAGGGATTTGGTTTTCCAGTTGTCCAGTTAATGAGCCTTGCCTACGAGCAAACTAAAGATATGAGCGTACGATAATTCAGCATCTTAAAGTATAAAATTGCCGCAACCCACAGAATTCACATTTTATCTTGAGCATTCCAACGAAAGTAATTAAAAAACCACAATGACTAACAAAATAATGTGTCTAAATATCATTTCCCTGTAGATACACTACATACATACTAATACGAACATAAACGATTACTTTCACATTAAACGTAACAGAGTAAAATTTCTGTCGTGAGTTTGAATATTTCGCATTGGTAGCTTGGCAAACCTGTGAATCATGGCCACTCTGATCATTACTGTGCCACTGATATGTAGGATACCAATTGGAATGTTCACTTGTGACCTTTGAGGTTATCACACGGACTACCGTCTTCTGATGTATGACGCCGTATAGTCTGGTAGAAGTTTACTAGCGGTGTAGGATTTGCGGTTCTTGCAGCGATGGTTATTAAGGGTTCTATCATCTTGGAATATAGCGCCGTGTAGTCAGTTTAAAGTCCTCCGTCGTTTCGAAGGAACGTATCATCTCCATCTTCAGGGTCGAATAAGAAGCTAAGCAAGAAACCGACGTAAGCAGGTGACAAGCAGAGCTCTGCTGTCACTACGCGTTATATCCCAGAAGATAGAACTACATGCTTGACTTATTCTCCAACCCTGAGGATGGAGGCAGTACATTTTCTCTGAAAGATCAGAGTAAACGTCGGGACATCCAAGAAAAGTGGTATTCTTCAATGATCTCTTGATTTAAGTTAATGGAAATTAATAAGATTCATGGTTTTCACGAAAGTGAAAATGAAGCTGTACCTGTGTTATGATATCCAATAGGTCTGTAGGTGGTTATAATTTTTTCCGAGGAACGTACCGCCTTTTTCTCTAGGTAGATATCTGGCACGATCTCTATTCAACTTACCTGTATCCATTCATAAAATTTCTTTTCCATTATTCCAATCCATCCGTCCATCCGTCTACCCTTTCATTTGCCGATTCGTCCGTCCATTTGTTCATATATCCAGTGATACAATATCTATATTCTACGAAGGACGTATGTGATTTCTAGTGCGGCCCATACGTGCGTGTACAGTAGCAATCTTACTGAACTATATGAAGAAGTTTATAGACGTCATAAAGAGCTCAGTAAAATAAAAATTAAATTCAGCTGGTGACGTGTATTTTCTAATTTGCTATTGCAAAAGAATGTTATTAGAATTATAACGAATTCTAGACCAAGAGAGTCTTGTAGGGATATTTGTTACAATTTGGAAATAATGACGTTCTACTCTCAGTACACATATTCATTACTTTTATACACATTTAATAACAAATATTTATTTTATTTTAACAATGAGATTCACAAATATAAAACTGAGCCCTCAGTAATTTATATTTGTCTGCAGTTAACCCAACAAAATACAATAAAGTTGCGTACATATCAGGTATTAACAGTTTTTAATTATCTTCCTCAAACAATAAAAATGTTGGCGACTGATGAGAGAAGTTTTAAATCTGCATTGAAGAAGTTTTTATATCACCATTCTTTTTATTCAAGGAATGAACGTTATCAACATAATTGGTCATAAGTGTGTAAAATTGTAATGTATTTAATTCAGTTAATATACTCGTATGTAATTTTAAATAAAATTGTGTGAATTCAACTTTTATAGTAAGTTGTTTTTAAAGTATGTTTATTAATTAAAATCTTATTTTTTTTTTTGCGTTATATTATTATTTATGTTAATCGATTGATATAGATGATTTTCATTATGTGACTCATATAATTTTATATATGTATTTTGATATATCTATTTTCAAATGGACCTTTTCTACAACCTATGTTTGTTACTTGTATGGATATATGGGAAATAAAGGAACTGAATGAATGAATGAATTCATCGGCTAGAACTGACGAGCTTGAAAAGTATTAAACTCGTATTACAGGAATAAAGGACAATTTACATTCTGTCAAATGTGACAATTTTTTGGACTGTTATGTGTTAAAAATACAGGAATTTAGAGACTTTTGAAAGAAGATGTCAGCAGTTTCTGCGCCTACATAGTATTTTGAACGAAAATTTTCGTTAATGAAGTGGAGAAAATCATGTTTAAGCGTAGTGATTGGAGATGAACCTTTGGCTTGCTTATAATGACATCCTACGCCGAGTGTAGGCGCTAGAGTTCTTTCCATGAGATGTTCGTGACTTCATTGGTCATTCGTCATCACTTAATACCCCAAGGAACCAGTTTGTTACTCATGTTTGGCGCAGTGATAGAGAAATGGAGAAAATGAGTGTGCTAATGGCGAGGATTTCTGTTCACTTCGTATAAACTTTGAAAAAGTGCTCCTGCTTAATTTTTTTTTCAGAGTTGTGTGCAGCAAAGTCACGTATGTAGCACTCAATAATTTACATATTTTTTTTTGTAATCTTTATGTTTTTAACGCTACAATAAGAGAGCACATTTAATTAGAAGTGCCTGTGCATATCATTGACATTTTATAACTTTTATTTATTGGAATTAGTGGTTTCCATTTAGATGTTAAACCCAGATTATATGATTTTGAAGCACCATGTTTATAATAACGAGGTTCCTGTCAAACAAGTATAATATAGGCCGTCGATACTTTTGACCATAGTTGCTTGATGGCATTGACAGCAAGCTGACAGTGCAGTGCTTTCATACCGTTGCACGGTATATAATGTCGCCAAATATCGCAGGGTACGTGTAAAACATGAATACAGAAGTCTAACATGAATTTCTAGCAACTGTAAAGTGTAGGCAGGGTATTCCTTTTTCGTAATATTTAAACGGAATCAATGGAAGGATAAGAGCAAAGGGGACTGTTCGAATTGATTTGATGCCATAGGATCTTACTACCCGAACTGTTTTGGTTGGTCAGACACAGTGATAAGTGCCAAGAGAAAACATTTAGACATTAACTAATATGTTAAGTAGTAGTAAACATGTTACTTTCGCCCTTCCAAAACAAGTGTTCCATTTCAGGGATTAATTGAAGTATAGTACATTAGTCTTATGAATGTAGTTGTATAATAGTAAATTATGATTGAAGTTAATTTTTCATTATTTAAGGCTGAATTTATGGCGAAAATTTCTGTGTATCTAATATGATATGCAGACTGCTAAAATCAAATAGACCATGCTGCTTGGTAATATATTTATTGCAGAGTGGAAAATGTTAATAGAACATTTTAATATTATTTTCAAATTATTGATAAGAATTTTACAGAATGAATGAGTGAATGAATGTTAGAAATGGTTATGAATGTATGAGGGGTAGGCCTTCTCGGCCCTTGCACTGCAACCTACAGCGGTATATTGCACTTCAGAAACAGTTAGAAACGAACTGTATATACTGTATGGATTTCTTATTGAATTGTGATATTCATGTTGAGCTTAAACTTGAAATTACTTGTGTATTATTTTTGTGTTGTTTGCTAGTTGTCCAGTAGTAGACATTATTATTGTAAGTACCAATCAAGATCTGTAAGACTAAATGTTGTTGTCAGGTCTCCTATGTATTTGAGTGGGTCTGGGTTCAGAGTTCAGCCCAGACATTGGCAATTCTGACTGATGGTTTTGTGGTTTTCTGCAGCTACTCCAGGAAATGCTGACATAGTACCTCAAATTGGACATGACCACTTCCTTTCACATTCTTCTCTATTTATTTTCCGCTGACTCGGGTAATGCTTGCCACCATTCAGTCCAGAACCTTTTGTCATCTCATCTGCTGTCCCAAAACATAAAAATTATAACATACAAAACTATAATTTTGCCTGTAGCTCTGTATGGGTGTGAAACTTGGTCTCTGACATTAAGGGAGGAACAGAGACTGAGAGTGTGTGAGAACAAGGTGTTGAGGAGAATATTTGGAACAAAGAGGGATGAAGTAACAGGAGATTGGAGAAAAGTGCATAATGAGGAGCTTCATAACTTGTACTCTTCTCCATGTATAATCAGAATGATCACGTCAAGGAGGATGAAGGTGGCAAGGAATGTAGCATGAATGGTTGAGAAGAGGGAAGCATATAGGATATTGATGGGAAAGCCAGAAGGAAAGAGACCACTGGGAAGGCAAATGAATGAATGAATGATTGAATGTATAAGGGGTGGGCCATCTTGGCCCTTCCACTGCAACCACAGTGATCTGTTGTGTCCCCCCTTCACAGCAATCCTGCATTTCGAATGGAGCACAGGATTTTGTACGTGGGGATGTCGAAATAGACACTTGATTCCATAAAATATTGACCCAAGTGACATAATCTTAAATAAGCTATGGCCTCACATTTGCACAGGATATGTGTGGCTGTTTCATTTTCTTCTTGACACCTCTCACAAGTTGGACTATTACTTATACCCATTTTGAAGAGGTGTCCTTTAAGGTGACAGTGTCCTGTAACTAGTCATACCTCCCATCATAGCTGGTTTTGCTTGCCTGAGTCCAGTCAAGGATCCCCAGTATTTCTTGTGATTCATATTTGTCCAGTCCCTGATTGCCTTTCTGGCGACTCCTATAGAGATGCCACAGGCTGGTTCTGGACCTATGAATGGATGTTCAGCTCCAATCTTGGCAATTGGTCTGCTATTTCGTTTCCAGCAATACCCTCATGCCCTGGCACCCATTTCAGTTGTACCCTGTTATGTTTGGCCAGTTCCATGAGAGTTTGGTGGCAATCCCAGACCAATTTTGAATTGATCTGGTGTTTGTCAAGCGCTTTAAGTGCAGCTTGGCTGTCAGATAGAATGTAGATGTTCCTATTTCTGTAGTTCCTATCTAGATTCTCCATAATACATGCCTTAATGGCATATACTTCTGCCTGGAATACTGTCGTGTACTGCCCAAGGCTGAAACTAAGTTTCCACCTCGTGCCACAGCCGTACACACCAGCTCCAGTGCCCTTATTTATCTTGGAACCATCTATATACCAGATCAGTCCCCCTTTTCTATCGGGCCGAAACCCGTCTTCCCATTAACTCCTGTCAGGAAATCTGACCGTGAATGGTTTTTCATATACATGTCTCAGTATCATTTTGTCAGACCCCAGTTGTAATATCAGGGTTTTTTTTTTTCTCCCATGTTTTGAGTTATTTATGCATGTCTGAAACTGTCGGATTAGGTTTCCAGTGATCACTGCACTGGAGATGGTAGATTCCTGCCCTGGCCTCTGCCTCCAACTGTATATG